TTTCGCGCACTCGACGCGCACGATCTCCGCAGAGGGTTGCGCGGGCAGCCGGCGAATCGCACTCTCGCCTGCATTTCGTGCACTCGACACGCACGATCTCCGCAGAGGGTTGCACTTTCGGTTGACGCTGTTCGTCCCGCCCTCCGCCTTTAAGAGAGAATTTATAAAGTGGGGAAATGTTTTTTCATTAGGACATCTCCCGTGCTAGTTTTCCATACTCACACTTGCCTACTCATTGCATGCTTGCATGCTCAAAGCATGCTTGCGTACCCATCACTTGCATACTTACACTGCGTGCTTGCCGAGTGTCAGTGTGTATGTGTCAGTGTCAGTGTCGAAGTGTCAGTGTATGTAGTGCGAATGTGGTGGAAGTGTCAGTGTGTAAGTGTAAGTGTCGAAGTGTCAGTGTTCAAGGGATTTTCCGGAAGAACCCTTCGCAATGCTTTCGGGAAAAAGATGAAAAACGCATTTACTGTGTACCAACCAGGGCCCACCTCTTTCATCTGAAGCCGTTGCATCAATGGATGCAGCATTACTGCCCCGAGCAACCACCCCACAAACATGGCCGTCTGCGTGAAAGTGATCTGGGCTGAGCTCAAGGGCAGAAATGGGTCCTGCGAGCTCTGGGAACGATCCGTTTGGGAAGAGGGTGCTGAATCAATAGGTCTATGATCTATGAGGGGTGATTTGTTTAGTTTCTTGCAAGTCATTCTATGCTGCTCCAGGGCATATGATGCGTATGTGCTCAGTTGGGTGGTGCGAAGAAAAGATGCATGAGTTGATCAATTCAGGCTTTTTGTCCTCTGTCCCTGTTCTATTTGACACCTTGTTCAGCCTTGTTCTACCCCGCTGGTGGGGTTTGCTCTAACAATTCCCCTACAACCACGATGCTCCTCAAGAACATGAACCATTTAATATGGGGTCAAGGCAACATGGACTACCAACCTCTCTGGGCCGCTGGGACATCTTCCTCTGTGCCAACAGCGATGTTCGACTGCGTCCTGGGCGATCTTGCGGTCGATCAACACGGGGAGCGCTTGCCAGGGAGCTTGAAAGCTCCCAAAGCAAATGCCCACGCCGAGGATGACGCGGAAGGCTAAGATCCTGCGCACCAAAGCGGAGCAGCAGAACCAAGGCTCCAGAAATGTGGACGAGAGAGAGAGAGAGACAAAAAATAGGGGATCAGGTCAACATGTGCTGGCGTTGACTCATATTCCTGTTGGCTTGCGGAGTTTCCAAAAAATCATAAACATTCTACTGCGGGAGATATAGTCTACACACACAGTTCTAAAGCCAACAAATATCAAGAAATGATTGAGTTCTTGGTCTTCCGGCAATCACCTTATTAGCAAGGTAGCCTACATGATAGGCTTTTGGTACGCTTGAAGCTTCCAACCTCATGGAAAGGTCAGACCCGCTGAGGAAAAAATGGCCTCCAAAGTTCAGGAACTTCGTTGGTTAACAAAAACAAAAAACAAAACCGTGTGTTTGTGGGGCTCAAGGATGTTTGTCGTGCATGTGCTGTCACTTCTTTTTCCTTCTTTTCTGGCGTCGTCACATGGCCAGTCAACGTGTTTTCTCCTTCCACCACGGCGGCCTCCAACCGCAGAACGCGTTCATCATCGGTGTTGGTCCGGTGTTCGTCCCGTTTTGGCACGGTCCGTTCGGTGCACCACTCCCCGGGATGTTTGGCCACGGGCGGAGGGGGTAAAACGGTAAAACTGAGTGCGACAGGTGGGGAATCAGGGTGGCTGGATCCGGCATCGGATTTAGGGTCATTCCCTTATTCTTGACTAGGCACCAGTGAGTTTGTTGATTTGTGGATCAGTATAGCACTGTAGCACTGTATTTGTATGCAAATGTCGTGTCCAAATGACCATCGCTCACAGATCTTGACAGGACTCACCCGCAACAGAAACAAATGCAAACCCTTAGCTGTAGACAACTAGGATGTAGCCAAGTATAGTAGACCAAGCATTAGTGGTACACCAAGAGTTGTCAGGCAAGTCAAACCAGACTTGACAACTCTGGGTCTCACCCTTCGGCCAAACATCCATGGCAGGTCTCCATCGCCCTTCTACAGTGATACTCTTCGTCCATGTTCAAACGCACCATCCACAAGAAGAGACTGTAGCTGGTTCCAAGCAATCCGAGAGCGACTTTGCCAGACCACTCCGAGGTTTCCTGGGAGAAGATGTCCACGGACTTTGACCATTGGACTGCTCATTCTTCTCGTTTTCACCCGGGCTGTTCACCAGGAACTCCTCCCGGTTGCCTCAGCGGCACAAGCCCGTCACAGTGCTACAGGTGATCCCTACGATGGAATACGGTAGACTGGGAGACGAGTCTGCTTGTTTTTGAGAGTACAGTATTTGTAGGTCGTTGGCATCACCCACCAAGTTTATTTTGTCTTTTCTGGAGCAAAGCCGACTTCTCCAAGCAGTTCAAATGGCTTAGAGGCAAGTCACAACAATCTGCAGGACGTTTGTTCTGATGCTCTGCCTGCAAGGGTGATAGCGGATTTATGTGGATACATCAAATCGCTTGGAGCCGATATAGAAAGAAATCGCGGTTTGTCAGCTTGACCCATATGCGACTCACGAGTCGCTCCTCCTCAATCCCGAAAGCCAAGGCTCCGAACAACTCCACTTGCTTCGCCTCCTTCGTTCGGCGCGCTCGGCGTGCCCGGCGTGACCCCCACTGCACCAGTGCACTGAAGAAGGCGACAAGGGCCAGGACAGCAGCAAAGGACATGGGCCACGCGCGCTCGCAGCGGAGGAGGCTGTGAGCCACTTAACTGACTGATGTCGCTGACTGTGATCCCTAGGGCCTTAGGCCTTAGGCATGGGGCGACCCAGGTCGAGGGACCCTGCTGCGACCTGAAAAATAGAAAAAAGGGACTTGTCGTGGCCCAAATTGAAGAGACCCGCACTTCCCAAACTCAAACATCTTGTGGCCTTTTTCACCAACTGCCTCGAAAATGGTTCTCCGATAAACCTTCAGGCTTGGAAATCACAGTTCTACCACATTCATCCACATTCCTCCTATCTTGAGACTGTCTTCTCCAAAGGAGTCATTCTGGAAGAAGTAGGGGTTCTGGTCAAGGCCTGTTGTTGGATCCAGCTTTTCTGCTTCTTGAGGGACCTTCCCAGTGTTCCAAAGACCTGTTGAAGAAATTTCAATTCAACATCTTCGCCACAGCTCCTGACTTCTCTGACGGCCTCACGTTTGAATTCTCGGCCTAGTAAAAGAGGCAAAATCAGCATTTGTTAACAAAAAGTCAGATGGCTCCCAACCCACCAGAATCGCACCAGTGCCTTGCAGTCGCCTGCAAGGGAGATGACCTTGGCAAGCCTCTCCACTAGAATATCTGCAACCTGGCGCCGTCCCGAACAGACCCTGATCCGTGCGATCGACCCGGCTCGGTCTTGGGATGGGTGGCGTCTGGAAACGAAGCGTCAGGAGCCCCTAGTAGCTTCCTTGTCAGAGCAAAAGTGATCAAGATGTCAGCAAGATCCCCAGCAAGTCCTTCGGTATTGTTTTGCAATCATAACTTGAGTACCTACATCCATTCTTTTTGCACCCGGACAAAGTCTGCAATATGAAAGTGAGTTTCTCTATAGTGACAACTTTCTCAAATTTCGCCGCCTCCTCCGGGCCTCAGGCCACCACCCTCGCTCTGGCCCCAATTGCCGGTGCCACATCCAAAGAAGAGCATGTCACAGGTAAAAAGGGTAATGATTTTCCCCCGCTGAATGACATGGGCGGAAGCAACTTGCCGTTTCGTGAAATCAGAACAGGCCATGGCACTGCTGCAATCAGATTGCCTAAAAGCTTCGGGCTGCTTTCAACGCATCAATCAATAGCGCTTAGAGCATGTACTCTCCCTTAACCCCTTAACCCCCCTTTTTGGCCAAGACCTTTGGACCTCAACAGCTACCAGCTATACCAGCCCTTCGCAGCGGTCGGGACACGGTCCACCTCGGCACCTTGGCGGGTCATCAACTTTTCCTTAGGTGCCAGGCCAGCTCAGCTGCTCTCAGCTGGGAACCGCTTTTCGTCTCGTCCAAAGGTGAAGTCCAGTTTCAGTTCAACCCTGGGAGAGCACCAGGATGAGTGCAGGTGAACATGGATCTGGGGGGAGCAAAGCTGGAACCAGAAGTCTGCTTGCAGAAGTGCGTTCCAAACTGATCACAGGAGAAACCAAGTTGATCAAACAAAAAACTTGACATCATGAAATCGACGCGAAGTTGGAAAAACCTTGCTGCAGTCTTGTCAAGCACAAAAGGCTGGTCCAACTCTTATCTGGCTACTACACCCTCACCGAACCCCCGGTTCAATTCTTACAATATGTATATAGTATATGAATTTATACATATAATGCCTATGGCCGCTCCACCCTCACTGAACCCAACATTCAATCTATATACATGCAATCAAAGACCTCCGAAAGCTGATTGGAAGCTGATGGTCCTTTTGCTGCGCAAATGTCTGATTGAGAGTATTCCCCTGGTTCTATGGAGCAGCCGAGTTTGACAGCATGCGGCTTGATGGCATGTTCAAAGGTGAGCGGGAGCGGTTCCAGGCATCACAAGACTCACGCCAAGGCTCATAAGTGTCGTTCTCGTTGAAACCAACCTGAAACTGCAAATCAGGCAAGAAGCGCTGGTCCACGAGATGAAGCGTATATATAGAAACAGCCGTTAAGCTGCAACTCCTGTTTTGGGCCGCGAGCTGCAAAGTCAAGGTGACATGACATCCTACTATGTGCAAGGTACAAAGTGTACATATTACATGGAGTGAAAATACACCCCCCTCAGCTAAGGTAGCTTTGCTCCCGAAGCTGGACGCGGAAAGTGCACGAGGGCTTGTGCAGGGCGCGACAGTGATGTCGGCTCAAAGCTGCATGGCAGTTGTGGATGCTAGCAATCCACTGCCTTCGTGGCCCTGTACGTGCATTTTAATTATTCACTCCCCGCCGCCAAAAGAAATTGAAAGTTTGGACTTGGGAGGAAAACCGCATACATATTGACAATGGATGTCATGCAATGAATTATGCTCGCTCAGGCAAAAAGGTTGAGACTTGGCTCAACTAACGCCAATGCCACTGGCTCCGACTCGAGCTCCAGTCCCACGAGCGGCGGTCCCACTGCCGCTGCTCGCCCCACTCGCTCCAGTTCCATGAGCTCCATCCCCATGAGGACGATGCTGATCCGGATGCACGTGGGCTCACCAGTGAAGGTGGCAGACCTCCCTTTGCCTTTGAAGCTGGAGTTCCATCACCTCCGGTAGAGGACTTGCGCTTGCCCTTGCTCTGCTGCTGGCGCTGCTCTTGAGTCTGCTTGTTGACCACATCACGCCTGGCGGCGGAGAGGTTGTCGTGGCATAGCTGGCGAAGCTCCTCCATTGCGCAGTATTGACTCATCTGATGCACACCGTCCCAAGCCAAAAGGCCACGATGGGAGTCGGGTGAGTTGAGGTACTCGATGTACTCACGCAAGGAGAGGATGTTTGTGCGATAGATCACGCACCATTGCTCAGGAATGTAATCCATGGCTTGTGGATAGCGATCGGGCGCTACGTCGATGTAGACCAGCCGTGCCAGAGAATGATCTTCGTCATATCCAAGGCCCAGGCTGACTTGCGCTTTGTTGCGCGGCGGGTTCGCCAAGTGAGCATGGCAAAGCCAATCCTGCCGCTGCGCTGCGTGATGGTCATAGCCCATTTGTAGCATTCGTTCCATGAACTGGACGTCATGCTCGAAGCGATCCTCGATGCTCTGGAAGCCGCACTTGTCTGCACGCTTCATCCGGCTGCGAGCGTCTTGGATCATGATCGCTTCTGGGCTCATGTTTCCACGGCCGCTTGCAGACACCACACGCAGGTTGAGGCCAGCCTTGATGTAGTCACTGACTGGGCACTCAGTGCGAGCGAGGCCGGCCCTCGCAAGCTGCTGCTTTCGGAGAACTGAGAGTCTGGTGACCGCTTCCTCCGGCAGCTCGGTGTTGGTGGCAAGTTCGGCTGAACAAATGTCACAGTGGGTCATGCCCCTGAGGACTAGACCCTTGCATTGGCTGCATTCGACCTGGATCACCGTCAGCTTGCGTCCCTTTCGAAGTGTCGGGGCGGTGATCGGCGCATCAAAGCCAGGTGGGGGCCCCGCAGGCTCAGGCGGAGCGTACCCGCTGTAAGATGCTGCAGGTTGATCTTGCTCTGCCTCATTCACGATGGAAGTAGGTGGAGTCGAAGGTGCAGCCTTGCTTGCAGGTGCCGATTTACTGGTTGCAGTCAGGGAAACAGGCATTGCTTTTGCGGTTGGCCGGGGCTCGCCAGTGATGGCGGCCCGGCTCTCACCTCCATCCGCTGGGGCAGCCTCGGGTAGGCCAACGGCGCTTACCCTGGTCCAGAGTGTGGACTGGCTTTCGGTGTTTTCGACGGAGACAATGTATTCTGGAGGTACCGTGTCAACCGTCATGATCCCACCGGAGCGGTTCTGGAAAAAGATGAGACCGCCATCGACTGCTTCCCGAAGTGCAACGGTAAGCTGAATAGGGTGCTTGCCGCGGAGACCGCTTTGATAGTCGGTCTCCGTAATGCGACTTGCAGCCAGGTAGACATGGGCTCGATCGCTGCCAACAAACTCGCCCCACATCAGGGCTGCAGATCTGTAGTTGTCCTGTGCGCTCTTGATCGCGTGCTTGCTTTGGCCAGCAGCGGCACGCATCTTCAGAGGCCATAGTGCCACGCCCTTCTCCTCGAGTTTGTGCCCTTCTCGAATGCCCAAAAACTCAAATCGGGTTTTCTTGTCTTTTGCTGCTATGGCGATCAAGTCTTTGACAGTGAGCGGCGGGGCACTGCGGTGATTCAGGCCGAAACACCTGGCTACTTCGTCCAAGTCTGCGTAGCCATCTTCGTCAACCTCAAGGCCCAGATATTGGTCATGTTGTCGAACAACTTTGGATAACTGGGTGAGCCAATCCTTGAGGGGTTTCGCGAAGAAAAGGTGCCCGCCATTGAGCTCCCATCCGCTCGCAAAGTGGAGCGGCAATTGCTTGTCGCCAAGCTGGACCACTTGCTGGAAGGCGCCATCGACCTCGTGTACTCGTGGTACTGGTCTGCAAGATACTGAGGGCACACAACGTGGCCTTCATCAGCATCAGCTGCCGGCGGCGATGAGGGTGCCTCAGGCTCGGGCTCGCCAGTGATGGCGGCCGAGCCTTCCTCGCCATGAGGTTCGATTTCTTCTTCATGCTCTTGCACGACCTCCTCGTATGGCGATACCTCCTCATCATCAATGGCATCGATGTCGAGCCATGCCGCTGGGTTCTCACCAGTTTCGACGCGATGGCTGAGTTCCTCAAGCGTCTGGAGCCGACCCTCATAGGTTTCTCGGTTGATGTCCAGCTCTGCAGCAATCTTCTCCTGCTCTTCCTCCATGACATCAAGGCGTTGCTGGAGGATCTTTTCTGCCGTGGCGTCATTTGCGACGAAAATCTCCGAAAGGTCTGGATCATCTTCCTCCCCTTCGGGCTCATCATCGATGACGGCCATGTCTGCCTCGGTAATCGGTGCAGCACGATTTGGCTGCTCCGCAGCGACGTCCTTCTTGGTAAGGGCGCGAGCTGTGAGCTCGGCTGCGGCGATTGCCCTTTTGTGGCGGACATCGGCAAGGTTTCGGAGTAGCTCTTCGTATCGCTGATGTGGAGGGAGGCGATCATCACGAAGCTCAAGTCCACCGAGCGGACGGTTCATCG